GAATAAAACAATGTGTTGGTGTACTTGATCAAAATATTAATTACGAAAGAACGGATTTGTTTCTATTCTTTTTGTTTTTAGAGACGTATATAACGCTGGAAGATAATAAATCTTTTATTATCATGGAAAATAACGTTTTCGGAGATAGAATAAAAGTAGAGAAAGAGTAACTGTAAAAAAAAAAGAAAAGAATTTATTTTGTGCTGGCGACGCAGCGTGAGAATAGTTTGCTGGACAAACAGCTGGTTAGCGACGATTTAAAAGTACGGTCCGAAAATGAAGTATGATTAGACACCGTAGCCATTTTTCTACCGGTGTTACTTTATTTTTAATCTTCTTCTTTTTGTTCTTTTTCTTTTCCTCTTTTCATTCCTCCCCTTCTCTCTCTCTCTCTCTCTCTCACGCGCGCGCGCGCGCGCGTGCTGACTTTTATCGTAGTATTTCCCACGGGAACATTATCAGTTTTTATTACTTCAGAATTTAATCGTCGTTCGTTATCCTCGTTACAGGATAAACTCGATCAAAAGTCATTGCAAATAGAATTAAACGTATTCTCGAGTATACAATATTTTCAATTTGACGTATTACGAAATATTATTAACAAATTTATTTGAAACGATATCTTTTGGTTTTTGTTTTCTTTTTTCGTTTTTTTCTTTTTTTTTTTTTTTTAATGAGAACAAGGAGAGAGAAAACGGGAACATCCTCCTATCCCCTGCTCCCTCACACTGCTTTCCACGTCGTTTAGTCTCACATCAGATTAAAACGTTACAAATCGTTGGAGAACGAATCGATTCGAAATATTCGATGTTGAACGATTTTCTAGTTTCGTTCTCAATCCTCCTTGAAATTCCATCGGTGATTTGCTCTGCAACTTTTAACGCAAAACGATATTTCCACATTGGTTATATTTTTCCTTGTTTTGCTTTTTTTTTTTTTTTATTTTTTTATTTATTTTGCTTATCTTTTTCAATTTAAATAACAAAATTCGAATGAACATTTGCCAAAAAGCTTGTCTTATTTTCCGTGCGTTCGTTAAATTATTTTCCTATTTATAATTTAATTTCACGAAAGAAAAAAAAATATGTTTATAAATAATATTATATTTTTCGTTGGGAAGGGGAATTTGCAATACCTTTTTTTTTGTTATATGAAACGAAAAACCGCGAGAAAGGAAATATGTACCCTTCTTTTTGAGTTTTTCTGTGTGTTTTTTTCTCCATTTCTCGGTTGTAGACGTCTTAGAAAAATCGCAAAGAGACTCTTCCGCGTCGGTGCTAGAAGAAAGATTTCGATAAGAATGGATATCGTGAGACACAGGGAATCCGAGGATATTGGGAAAATCGTTCGATCGAGCATTCTGGCACGAAACACGTACGAAGCTTTTCTCTGCCACCTTTTTCCTCCTTTCTTCTTCTTCTTCTTATTCTTATTCCTCTTCTACCTTTCTCTTTCTCTTGTTTCCCTTCTTCGATTCCTCAATCATTCTTCTTTGTCTATTTCCTTTCATTTCATCTCGTTTCACTTCGTTTATATATTTGTCCTTTTTTTTTTTTATTATTTCTTTTCATAAATTCATTTTCTTTGATTATCATTCAATTATTAAAACCAATATTTATCCCTGAATTTATTTCACTTGCCCTTCTTTTCCTATTTTTTGTTTATACATAAAAATTTACATATTTTTACTACGGCGGAAATTAGTATAATATTCATCTATACTTTATTCACCTTCTCTCATTTTATCAAATACTTATATTAGTATATGGAAGAATAATCGTAAATATTTTTTCTTTTTCTACGAAATACGTATATTTAAAAACATTTATTAAATTTATTTCAAATATTAATAATCAAGATTTATGCGAATCGAGGGGTAAATTTATTTATTACTATTTCTTTTACAACGTACGAGTACTCTCATCTCAAGTATATTCTCTACTTATCGTTAGCAAAGTATAAAGGAAATAAATTGATAGAGGGATAGAATAAAGGGAGCTACAAAGTACACTAACATCCTCATATATATATATATATATATCTATGTATATAAAATATATGAAACATATTACATACCTCTATATACATAAATACGAAAAACGTGACTCAAAGCGATTTTTGCAATTTTCTCCTAGTTTTTTAGCTTGGCACAAAAGAAAACCCATGGTAAATTTTTATTTTTTTCTTCTTTTTTGTTTCATTCTCTTTTTCTTTTTTTCTTCATCTACATATTTTTGGAAATCGTTTTGTATTTTCTCTCTTTTCTATCTCTCTTTCTTTCTCTCTCTCTCTCTTTCCCATCCCATTTTTTTACTCTCTCCCTTTTCTATCTTTTCAAAATTTTAAATTTTTACAGCGCACCTACATAGAATCCAACGGTTATTTCATTTGCCATCAGCCAACTGGATTATCGTTGGTACTAATGCTATTACGTTACACGAATAACATTATATGTATATACTCAACGTAGTAGTTACAACGTGCTTTGAAATACTCAAATCTTCTTTTTTTTTCTTTTTCGAAAGAGTTAAAAAGAAGGAAAATAAAATGTTAAACAAAATAAAAAAGAAATGTTACCCAACACGCACGCAAAAAAGATTCGGATTTTGTGATGCATGAAAATTTATTAATGAAGTCACCTCGTTATATTTAATAAACCGCGCGAATGGAATTAATGTTATTATTATATTTCTTTTTTTTTCTCTCCTGTACGAGAGGCGGTAATAATTTAATCCGAATTAATTTTATTTTTACTTTTCTTTATTTTATTCATAGATTAGCTTGAAAATTTGAAGAATATGGTTTTAGTTTTAGAACGATTAGATGGTGAGGAAAGAGGATAGTAAATATGCTTTGTTCATGTTGATCGTTGAATATCGTTTTGAACGCGTGCGGAAATCTTTCGTTAAAGTATGGAGGAAGCATAAGTGCATATATCACGTTAGTTGGTGTGAGGCTTATCGTGAATATTACCGGACTCATCGTGATTCACTATTCCGTGAATAATACGATCACCTACCATCCACATTTTTTTTATTTCTCTCTTTCTCTCTTTCTCTCTCTCTCTCTCTCTCTCTCTCTTCCAGATACACGAAGAAAAACCGGAAAAGCGGAATAAAATTTTTCTTTTACCTTTGGGCGATAATACTCTCAACGTTGTTTAACAAATAAAGAATACCTTGCGAGAGATTATAAAATGTGTTTGAAAAAGGCAGAGAGAGAGAGAAAGAGAGAGAGAGAGAGAGAGAGAGAGAGGAATAAAAAGAGAAAAAAGAAATTACAAATAAACTGCAAATATTTTCGATGCATACGCGTATTTGTAAACAATTATAAAAATAAAACATATATATATATATATGTTTATTAACAATAATATA